TATGTGAAATATTCTAATTTTAATAGTAATTTTATAATTGAAATTTATTTTACATTTGTAATTGTTTTAAAACCAAAGAAAGTAAAACCTGACATCAGTGGTATGCAGGTACTAAAAAAACCAAAATACCCTGGAATTCTTTTTGAAAGCACTCTGGATGCTTTAAACAGAGATTAAACATATGAATTAGTCATAATAAGCCCATATAGAAAGCAATAGAATTGAAATGAAGAAGTCATTCTTGTATTTCTGGAAAGGCTGCCGCAGAAGTCACAGAACTTTGAACAACTGGATCATTATTTCATAAACCTCTGTTGTGGTCCAGGATAAAAGAGGCCACCTAAGTGGCCAATATTCAGTGTAGAGTTCATGCAAAAATTAAGGAAATTATTCCAAATTTTATCTCTGGCTCCTGGAAATCATTTTCAGAAACTGTGGAATTCATTTTATTGGAACTTTTTTTTTTTTTTTTTCTGTGTGGTATTTTCTTAAACTTTGGAAACATTTTATTCATTCTTTCTAATCTCACCTCATCATCGATGGAAAAAGCTGCAGAAAGTCTTTCCTAGACAAGATGGAAGGTTCATTAAGAAGCTGGGGCACAGGAGAAACAAATGGAGAAAAGTTAATCTCAACTTGGAAGTACCGTGTAATCCAGAAAGAAAATGTGGACCTGCGAATCAGCTAAGATTTTGCTCTGAAGTTGTGCAGTTTTTCTGTTTGGAATTATTGTTTTTCCTCATGTAAATGTAGATGACATTACTCAGATGGAAACATATAGGCAAATAGCCAGACTCTATCTTGAACAATGTATACTGAAAGATCAAGTTTAAAAAGTCTTCTCTGAAGCTGAGTGCACAGAAAGTTTGGTAAAGCCTATTTACTGTGTAAGAACAAAAAGTAAGGACATGGACATTTGCATAGAGAAAAAGAGTCATATTTTGAAGAAGAGTGCCAGGAGAAACAACAAAAAATGCGGGTATATGTTGCCCCAAGAAATCCAAATACAATGCCCAGTGCCTCAATCATTATTACTGAGAGAATCAGACCCTTGTTATAAAGGGTCAGATGATGTGTTCGCTGTCATTCTGGCATTTTCTCTGATTTTGCGGAAGAAATAATGTGAGAAGAGGCACTTTTTGGTCCTAGAGACAGGTGTAAGTAGTTTGAATGGATTCACAGAAACAAATGCTTGGATACTATTGGAATTTTTTGAATTTAATGTAAAGTGGGATTTTTATGCATCTCTGCCACACTTACCTTTATGTTCAAAAATGCTTTTTCAAAATATTTGTGTATCTTTGGCTTCAACTGAAAGAATATTTCTAAGTTAAACTTAATAAAAGGTGTTTTTCCATCAACGATGATAAGATTGATTGAAAAATCTGGCCATACTCTTTATTAAATATATATAACCGAAGCAGATCAAATTGTGAGGAAATTGTTGACAGATTTTTCCAAGGTAAGGCTTAAAATAGCAAATATTTTATTCCTTACTGAAACAAACCATCCTGTATGTTGTTTTTTTTTTTTCAAAAACACATTAATATATGAATCCATTACATTTTCCTTTTTTTGCACCTTAATATTTACTTTTTAAAAAAATTGCCGTGATTATACAAACAAAGTTCATTTCTTTTCTGGCCATTATCATTATTCATTTCCTTTCCTTTGTGCTACTGAAGATAATTTTATCCCTTAAAAGAAAGTATGTTAAAAAGGGATTCAGATGGTGGTGTCAGATACTTAGATGCACACCTAGCTACCAATATGTCAGATAGCTGTCCTGCTGTGAATGTTAATCTGTTAACCTCGGGCTGTGCTGTTTGACAAGTGCCATTTCTGGACACCCAGAAGTTATTTCCTCAATACTTCCGCAGAGCAAAGACGGAAATGTGTTTAGTTGCCTCTAAAAATGCACGACAGTCGAAGTGAAATGATTTTAGAAGGTTTGACATTTGACAACGTTTAGAAATAAGTAAGGATTTTTTTTTAAAGAAGAAAATTTCCTGTTTGAAAATCTAGTGATGCTCTGACAGCTTTTTAAGTGTCTGATTACAGACAGCTGAGAAGCAGCTCTGGGTTTATAAATCAATGATTCATTACATATCATCTATTTGGCCTGCCAGAGAAGGAAACTTTAGGAGTGCAGTATTTGCTTATCAGTCAGGCACCTGGTAAGCCCTTCAGCTAAGATAACCCTGACTCTTGTTGCAGAGAATGCGTTTAGCTATCCTGCACTTTTGGAGTTAATTCTTCTATTTTAGAAATGAAATCTTTATGAAGCTAATTGTAAAAGAACTGGGCTAATGACAAACTCGATAGGCTCTTCAACATGTGTAGGTTAAAAAATTTAAATTTCAAATTGCTTGACTTACACATTTTTTAGGTTCTTTGGTATTAATACTTTTTTTTCTACTTTTACAGAGTAATACTGTGTTGGCTATTTTTTTTAAAAAAATTTCAATCTCATAGGTAGATGACATATTTACTCTGGATGCAAATACGTGTTACTTAGGGGACTTTTCGAGAAACCTCTTTCAGGACCCATTATTTTCTCTGAAGTAAAATACCTGATATAGAAGAAGGCTTTTAGGTTACTGTCAAGACTGCCTGTGGACATGGAGAATTACTGACACTTATTATAGATGAACCAGCCTTTAACCTGTCAAAGAATGCCCAGAGGGAGAGATAGCTGGCCATTACAGCCTCACCTCCTAGGCACTGTCAGATGATTTAGGGTTTACTTTGACCCAGGTCATAAAATTGTTTTTGCAGGAGTTGGGGAAGAGGGAGGGGTGTCTTTTCACACACACACACACACACACACACACACACACACAAAATTTGCGCAGAAAAGAAAACCATGTTGGTTTCACGGTGTGGTATTTTATGGTTAATGCTATTGGTAGCGTTAATAGATATTAAGAAATCAGTGACTTCTATTGTCTACATTAGTGATTCCTAATTTTTTTGTTTCCTAAGTGCTTTACACGCACAAAAATTATTGAGAACCACGCTGTGCTTTTGCTTATGTGGGTTATTTGTCCTGAAATGTACCATACTAAATATTAAAACTGAGAATTTCATATTAACTTATACATTTAAAATCCTCATAATAAATCCATGACGGGTTAGGACATTTGACTTATTTTATGAAAAATAAATATATTTACAAAATAAAAAATTCAGTGGCTATAATGACATTGTTTTACATGTTGGCAAATCTCTTTAATGTCTTGCTGAATAGAAGGTACCTGGATTCTCATCTGTATCTGCATTCAATTTGCAGTGTGTTAATTTTGGTTGAAACATATGAAAGAAAATATGACCTTATACAGATATACCCAGAGAACCTCTATAGTTGGCCACCTCCCTGTACTGATCACCTCCTGAAGTTGACCTAGTTTTCACAACTGGACTTGTACCATCTCAGTACAGTAGGCCTAGTTCCTTATGTTGACCACCTCCGTGTGTGGACCAGTTTGTTACAGTCTCTTGGGGGATCAATTTACAGAGATTCTACTGTATTTGGAAAAGGGAAGAGTACTTTAATACTCTTCTGAGATAATTGTGGATATTCTTTGGTGCTACATTAGAACTTAATAAGTAGTACTTAAAAGTTAGTTGCAATGTGGACTCCAAAGCCCTTCAGTAAACTTCTTGGTCTCTGTTATAGTATAACCCATTGGTCTATTTCTGTCTTGTAGTGGATCCTTTACCCACATAAATTATAATATGATACATTGATTATTTGGAAAATAATTGGTTTCCTGAGAGTTATAGATCTTCCCAATGTTGAAAGATTTCATTCTACAAGATCACATTCACATTTGTTGATATCATCACTGACTGATGTCATCTGAAGAGTTTTTAATGATTAGGAAGCGCTCAAGCTCATGGAGGTGGATACGAGTTTACCTAAATTCTGATTTTTACCTGAAAGTTTGAATTTTCTCCTTGGCTATAATTACTATCAGCTGTTTTCCTTTAAGTGCTAGGATCACTTCATTCATTTTAAAGAAAATGTCTTCCATGTGTCCATGTCTGAATAGCTGTGGTTCATCTGTCTGTCCTTTTCTCAAGTAACAGTGGAGTTCCATGAAGAGATGGCTGACTCAGCTTCCAACTAAAATAATGGCCCCGAGGGTTTTCCTCAAGGCATCTGTCCTGAATGGTGCTTACGGGTTTTGCCCATTTCATCACTCACTATCTTGAACTGATGTGTACTTGATGTTGGGATTTAATAAAATTAATAATTTTTACTGTTTATCAAGGGCATTCTTTTTTTTTTTTTTTAATTTTTTGTAAAGGACATTCTTAAGTGAAATTGGCTAATGGCTGCAAGCACAGTCTGGAGCTGCTGCCTTGGTTCCTGCTAAGGCAGCAGCAATTACCCACCCTTGCCTTGTAACATGGTCCACGTGTTAAAGTGGTAGTTGCAGGAGGATGCTGAGATTCAAAAAATTATTCAGTAGTTTGAATAGTTTAACACCTCTTGTATTTTGATGCCAAAAAATCACATAAAATAGTATCTTCTTTGATAATTTGTTGTGCTGATAACAAAGAAGCAAAATATCAAGTCCATCAATATTTGGAGATTCACCCATTTTTAATGCAAAAGTATGAGTTTTCAGAGAAGATAGCAACTCAGTCTTCATATTGAAGCTAAATCTTTTAATTGGATGACATTGCAAAGTGGCAATGATTTCTTTTACGGACTTTTCATCCAGTAAGCATTCTGCAGTGTCAGCGGACAAGGCTCTCCCAGCTCATATGTGTACTTCTCTCGTCAGTGTCATATAACTCGCCCTGTAGGAGCTTCAGCGGCTTTCTCATTTCTGGTTTGAAAAGATGTAATAAATGCTTGGCTTTTCAAGAGCTTATCATATCTAAGTTTAAATACTTAATTCCTTTTTCTTTATACTGTGAATGATTGGTCTCAATATAAATGTATTTTGTGCTGTGAATTTATTTTATACTTTATACTGTGAATGGTTGGTCTCACAACTTAAGTGGCACAGTAAATATTATTTTAAAATGCCCCATTGCAGTAGAGAGAGAGAGAGAGAAAAGTTCTCCTCAGGATGTCAGGTTGGCCTTACAGTGGCCACTCTTTCCTTGAGGGGTCCAACAGCATTAAAAAAGAAAGAAAGAAAGAAATAAAATGTTCCATTGCATAAGACACAATAAGGTAAATTATTAGCATCTGTAAAAATAAGGGAAAGATGGCTTTTATCATAATTACATTTATTTATAATTTCACCCAATTTCTTTTTGGAAAATTTTTATTTTTAAATATTATGGGTACATAATTGTTGTATATCTTCATAGGGTATGTATGATGTTTTGATACAGGCATACAAAGTTAGTTAACCACATCAGGGTAATCAGTATCCATCACCTCAGGCATTTATCATTTCTTTGTGTTAGGAACTTTCCACTCCCTTCTTTTAGTTATTTTCAAGCATATCAAGGTTTTGTTAGAATAGCTTCTTCTCTTGCA